ATATATACACATGTGTATTTATATATGTAATTAATTCAAGAGGACATTTTGATGCAGATCCCAGAGGAGACGACTGTACCACTGGAAAGGACTGAAGTTAACAAGGTGTCTTAATGCTGTGTGTATATCAACAGGTAGTCTCTTTATCTGGCCTGCTATCAAAATTTCCTTACGCTCTTGCTCAGGTGACTTCATCCATCACTGCAACTTCTCACTGGTATTCATCAAGTTAGAACAATTTAGATGTGTAAAACTAAATGTGTTATCATTTTAACCACAAATTAACAGTTTCTATATAAATATTAGCATTTCCTCACTTGGTCCAAGGATAGAAGCCATTACGGCACTAACAGTATATTTGATTTAAACTAATTAAAACCAGAGGCTCTTGCAATTTAATATATTGATTTTACCAGTGGGACTTAAATCTTTTATAATAAGTGTACACAGCTGCAGCGCTCACCCACCACCACTTTTAAACCTAATCCCTGCATTCCTCCTGACAATAACATGACAGGATCCACACATCCCAGTATTAGCCTTAACCCCGGTGACACTGCCAGAATGTATTAAACTAAAACATAGCAGTGTCCTATTTAAAAGGAGCCTGTCAACAGCCCCGACTGGGCTTTAATAGTTATAATCTTTTTTTTAATTAATGGTTCCAACCACTTCTGCAACCTTCTCGCGCATGTCCTGCCTCTGCCCCACCAGAAAAAGCGTTTCAAGTGTATTTAGGGAGGGAAAGGGAAAACGTGGCCTCATGCTGCCCACCCGGCAATTTGAAAATGAATTAAATTCCCTCTAGAAATGGTCTGTATGCTCAAAGGAAGCCTGCTCATGTCTGCTCCGTGGGAGCCAGGGTGTTTCACAAGTTCATTCTGCTCCAAGCTTTCTCTGCTTGCTAATTCTATAGCACCGAGTGCTGCWTATGCCCATCCGGGTATATACCTGGGATGCATAAGCCCATCCCATCTGGAATGGTTTTGGGATGGACCTGTTGGGGCTTGAGAGCTTCCAGCAGCGCGAGGTGGAGGAGAGGGAGGAAGAAATGGCTGAGGGCCTGGCCTGATGTATGGGCAGAGCCGTGTGATCGCGAGCAGGCACTCGGGACTAGCATTTAATCTGCTTTGTTTCAAGTGGGAAATATGTGAAGATCAAATAAGTTCAAACCCAGGTCAAATATCCTTGAAAATCTTTGATTTATATAAGCAGGAAAATGAAGTTTAAAAGAAGTGATTATGAAAGGGTTACTGAAAACACAGCTGTACGCRCACTCTTATATCTGAGGCTCTCCAAAGAAAAACTGTGTGACATCTATATTAACCTTTGGCTGTACACCAATGACGGCCTGTAGTGAGCTGGAATGCAAGGCAGCCCCTTCCAAATTTTAACACAAGCCAGGTTACAGCTGCAAATGCCTGCAGCCCGTGCTCACTTTATAAAGTATTCCCCAAAGGAAATTTTTAACTGTTATAGAATCTTTTTCTAATACCCTACAGTGTTAAAGCTTGTTATTAAAGGGCAGAGAGATGGCTCACGATGCCAAACACTTGTCAACAAAATGGATAGCCAGATGGTATGAAATAAAAGGAAACTTGGGGGCTCTTCGGCTTCTTGATTTACATTAACAAAAGCCACTTTCATGTGCTCCTTCCAAGAATGACTAATCTCTCCCCCCCTCCTTTATTTTTTGCCAGCATTAAACAATGTTGTTCGTTCTATAATCAACCATGAGACAAATTAACAAATTGCATATCACTTGCACCGGTTCTTTTAAGAAGTATTCCGAGCAAGTCTGTTTACCGAGTCAAGATTACCCACATGAGGACAGCTCAATTATTTTTAGAAGAGTGGCTCAAAGTGATCTAGAGGATATTTACTCCTTACTTACTGTTTACAATCTTGAAATTCAACTGGTGCAGAAAATGCTTTGTATTTTTTCAGAAGTTCTTAAAAGGGATCAGTTTGTAAACTTGATTTGTACCTGGTCTGAAATTAAATTCCAGCTAATTAAATTATAGCAATAAATTTTGTAAGATTAGTCAGTAACTAACTGGCCAACTCTGTCAGGCCACTCTGGCCAAATTCTCTTTTAATATACATGTAACTTCATTCTTGACACAGATCCATTCCCCATCCGTCCTAGCACAGGTGTAGGGTAAGTCAAAATGCAGCCTGTGAATTAAGAGGTTATAAATCTAAACCACATTAATTGTCAAGACTTTACAGTAACATTACACACTAAGTTCAAAGCCCCTTGCAGCGCAGCCCTGAAATGGAGCACCTGTATTCTGGTTCCTCCCTAGCAATACCCAGTATAAATTCTTAGGATTAAACATGCAGGCTATCTCCATAGAAATAAGTAATATGGTTTGTTGTACTTTTTATTTATTTTCACCATGTGGGCTCTTACTTACTCCAATCTAAATCTTTACTTTTCCAAGTTTTCCCTGAAGTTGTATGACTAGAAAGATGGAAGAACTAAGAATAAAGGGAAAGAAGGTGAATTCATAGATAAGTATTTGGAAAACTGGATTAAGACAACTTGCTTATTGAAATTTAAAGGTATTTCTTCTTTACTCACTTCTTCCATTGCTAAGATGAAACTTTATGACACTTGCTCATTGTGATGGCTCTAGTATAGTAATAAAAGCCTACCTGTGAAACGCAATGCTCACAGGGTATCTCTTACAAAACTAGGACACAGTTTACTACAGTCTGCCTTCAGCAATTCAGCTCTGGCTTAAAAGGGATCATTGTAGCAAGTCTCCCCCAAAAATATCAGTTATACAATAGATCTTCTAATTTTCCCTGAATGTCATAGAAAACTGTACATATCAAAGCAGGTGTTGTGTTTGACTATATACGTGAGTGAGTGGCTGGCCTAATTCATTAAAACGTCCATAAACAAGCCTGTCTTTGTCCTATAAAGATGAAAGACCAATGACTATAATGGGATGAAAGGTGTGCACAGTGATGAAGAAAGCTATTATAGATCTGTGTCCTTTTTAAACTCGTCCTGGCAGGCACTGTTGACAAGGGAACAAAACAGTGCAGATAAACCTCTGAAATGTGCCCTGCTGCTAATAATTCCACCTGTCTTTTTCAAAACCATTGGATTTTTCCTGCCCTCTTCCTCCTCGCTGACCRTGCTGACAGCAATTAAGTAAAACGATACTGTGAGTGTATATGGTTAAAATGTAAGGTACTTGATAAAAAAAAAAAAAAGTTTTCACTCATAAGTAGATATATCTACAAGGTATTTTTTTTTTTTTCAATTTACTGGTTAATTCCACTCTGATCACAAAAGAGCTGCATCCAAAAGCATTAGGGCCCTCAGCTTTAACTGCTGTTATTCCTTCCCCATGGGCTGCAGAGAGGGCCTTTCCCAGGAAGCAGGGCTGGAGCATGCGGATGCAGAGAGCCACAAGCAGCAGGAGCACCACTTGCTTCCCCAAAATAAACTTCACTGGTCGCTTATTTTTCCTAAAGGCTCCACTTTGCTGCAAGGAGAGCACAAGCGTGAGCTCTGCTGTGGCTGCTCCAACGTCCCCGGTGCCGCGTGAGCGGCTCTGCCGGCGCTTGGGCTGCACGTCCYGCGTGCCACCGGGAGCGATGGCAGCGGCACCGCTCGGATCGCCAGGGGCAAATATTTGACCAGCAGAGGCGCTTTTGGCTGCTCAAATATTTGATTTTGAATGTATCTTTGCTGATCGGYTTAAGCATCTCGCAGCGATTAGACAAACACTGTAAGTGTAAATGGAAAGCATTAGTGCAGCCCCAAGGCCAAACGTAATTGCTAGAAGCCTGCTGGGGAGCTTGTGGTGTTTAATAAGAAAGTGCAGCTCCTGCAGACTGCGGCTCTAGCAGCGTTCCGGGCCGCAGCATCGCGTGATGACCGTGCTGGCAAGGCCCCCAGATGTTGTAATTACTAACGCGTGTCCCAGAGCCCACGCGGCTACCGATATTGTGCATCTCGTTAAGTGCTGGGGTCGGACGGGAGCGCCGTGGCCGCGGGCGCTGCAGAGCGTCGGGTGCACGGAGCTGCAGCATCGCYGGGGCGTAGGGGGGCTGTGGGGCTGGGGTGCCCGTGGGCACTGCCATGGGCCGGCGCTGCCCTCGCTCCCTGCGGGGCCCTTGGCTTGGGCGGCGCTTGCAGCCGCTCTTGGTTTGGAAGCGCTACCCAGATTTTGCCATGAACTTGCAGGCACCCAATCTGTATGGCTGGTGGTTTTGGAGCTGCACATGACGGGGGCTAAAAATGGATGGAGCAAGGCAGGGTCTGTAATTATATATTTAAAATAGCCTGCTCATCCTTTCACTCAAATCCAACCGATTCAGCCCAAACAGGCGTGCAGTCTGCAGAATGCACGGAGCCACCAGACCTCTCCGTGCATCCCATCGGAGCGGCCTGGTGCGGAGCGCGCTGGCTTTTGCACCATGTGCACACACTGGCCAGTCACACCGTGCCGAGGGCCGCGTCCGCCGCCGAGGTGGGAGTCACCATCCGGAGCAGCAGGAGCAGCCAGGGATGTTGCGCRAAGGCCCCGCGAGCCGCGAGGGCGACGGGCGCCGTCACCCAGCCCGTGCGCGAGCCCCGCGCGCCCCGCATTGCAGCAGCYCTCGGTGCCCTGTGGCGTTGGCACCATTGGCACGGCCTCGTTGGTGCCCCAATCCCACTAGTTTTCCCCAACAAACGTTCCTGCAAAGGCGACTCTTGAGGCGCAGTGCGTAACCGCTGAAGGGGGAAGGTGACAAGAGGTGAGCGCGGTGGCAAGGAGCACGGCACTGCTCAGTGTGCCCAGCTCTGCACCTTGCTGCCTCTTGGCTCCCGCCTAGCAAAGAAGGTGCCTTTCCCAGGGCTCCTCCTCACCCTCGGGGCAGCTGGTCCCCCTCACGGATGGCTCCCTGGGGACCCTCATGCCACCACCTCCCACCCTGTCCCAGTGACRGGGTCCTGGTGCAGCCGCCCGGTCCCAGCGCCCCTCGCCGCTCACCCAGGTTGACGAAGCTCATGACCATGTCGGCATCGGTGAGGAAGTTGCTGTCCTGCAGGCTGGCGAGCGGCGGCCCTTGCGTGCTGAAGAGGGGCTTGTAGGGGTAGGAGAAGCCCTCGCCCTCCTCGGCGGCCGCCCCCGCCGCCCCCTCCTCCACCGACATGGCGTTGTAGAGGTCCAGCATGAACATGGGCGCCGAGTTGTGCTTGCCGTGGAGGTGCGGGCGCGGGCGGTGCGGCAGCCCGAGGATGGAGAGGATCTCCCGCTGCATCTCGCGGCGCTCGGCGCCGCGCAGCCGCCGGTGGATGAAGCTCGAGTGCACCTCGTTGTCCACCGTGAAGTCGGCGAGGACGCAGCGCAGCCAGAGGGCGGGCGCGGCGGCG